GCAGTTCAAAACTGCCAGCAGAAAGATGAGGCTTTCTGCTCCCGTAAAGATATATAACCTTGGAAACCCTATGCAGGGTTGCTATGAGTTGGAACCGACTCCACGGCACACTAACACCACCACCACCATCTTAAAGGACAAAGATGAAAATTAACATTCGAGGAATACACTAGCAGAAACATTGTTTCTACTGTGATCCCAAGTGTCTATAAAACTGAACTAAGAAAAACTGAAAAAGGTAGATGAAAGTAAAAATACTTATTCATATATTTATGTAAAAAAAGAGAAAACAATGACATCTTAGTATAGTTAGCCATGTTGTTCAAAAAGGTGTTTTATAAAATTCATTAGGGAAAAAGAAACAAAATAGCAAATCTCCTTTATTGAAAGAATGAAAGAAAATTACCCCATATTATCTACTTCACAACAGGCCCTGTGTTAAGAAAGGTGAGTAAATTCACTATCTCACCTAAGTGGCATAGCCCACAGGGAAGATTTCTCTTCCTAATTTAAAGATGTCGAAACTGAGCTTCAGTGAGATTCAATAACTTGGTCTAAAGACACGAAGACTGATGGACAGAATCAGAATGTGAACCAATGTCCAAAGTTTATGCTGTTCTATAAATCAATTCAAAACTTAGCAGGTAAAATACTATAGTCAAAGTTCTCAATAGAGACACCCCAGTAAGGTTAATATTTCTTGTTAGGAAACAAAATAAGTGACTATTGTAAGTCACACTATGCTACCTATTCTCAAATCATTTTTGCCTTGGGAAGTAACAGTACCTGGGAAGAGAAGGTAATTAGGTATTAGTCAGGCCCCCAGACACCAAAATTAATGTTGTGTTTTTTTTTGTTTCCCAAAAGCATATCTTTTTTTTTTTTCTCCCAAATGGTAGATTCTTAAACAACTGCACTAAATGCTCATTAAAATATGTGTTATGTTGTTGTTATGTGCCTTCGAGTCACTTATGACTCATAGCCACCATGTACGGGGTTTCCGAGAAGCTGGTGAGCTTGAACCACCAATCCTGCAGTTCAAACCAACCTTGCAGTCCAGCGCATTAACCTGCAGCGCCACACCAGGACTCCAAAATTTGTATGTAGTACTCAGAATTAGCAATTAGATCATTGTTTATACTATTTTGATAAAGGAATCTAAATGACTGTTGAGTCATCTATACCTGAGGATAAACCATCTGGTATCTATACGAATAAACCCAAGGCATTATTCTTTCCCCAGAAGCATCTGCTTGAATTGAGGGCATGGGACTTAAGGGAAAATGAGTGACATGGTACTAGAACTGATTTCAAACCCACTGAGTTACATAAAACATTACTTTGCTTCAGTGATATTTTAGAAGTTTCAACTTTTAGGTTTAGGATTTAGCTTATGTTTTCTTACTTAGACAATAAATAAAAGCCCCCTGTGGCAAATGATGGTGGGCTTGGCATTTTTGGTCATATTTTAAGAATTTAGGTAGATAGAAGTGCTCTAGGCCAATCAGACCAGGTGCTCCCAAACTGAGTCTCTTTTACTACCTCATAGTTACTTATTAAATGATGCAAGAAGAATGTATAAACAACTGAATTCGTATAAATATTAAAATGAAAAATCTTACACCAAGAAAACCAACACCCTTGTAAAATACAGTAGCCAAATTCAATTGGTATTATGTATCACCATGAACTTTGGAAGGACAGTCTTTAAGCTACTGTTCCCCCTCCACTAAGGTAAGTGATCTAAACAAACTTGGCTATTAGAGAATAATTAATGTTGTTTATCTGTTTCTCTCTATAAAACTGGGTTGTGTTACTCAGTTTTGCATCCAGAAATAAAAATACAAGCATATTACAGTTTCTAGATCTAGAATTGCTTTTATTAACACAGAACAGATTTTTTTTCCCTATCATTAGCACTTAGTCCGTATCCATTTGATTAAGCCAGCATATAAATAAGCCTAAAAATTATATAGACAGGGATAAGAAATAAGAGTTTATGTAGCAATCAATGGCCTTGAATGCTGAATCAATAGCTATTCTAATTGCAAAGATTCCAGTGGCTGTTACATTGAAACTGATTTTCCACAGAGATTGCAAGGAAATGTAGCTGCCACCATAAAATTAATTATAACCTTATACTTTATGTCTACAATATCTGGGTTATTTCCATAGAATAATTACACCCAATTTAACAGAAGTACTTAAGATCAATAGTATTATGAATAATTCAAGGAGTTCAAATTACTTTCTTGCAAATTCCTTCCTTTTGTTGTTTTACTATAGTAACTGATAGTATGTCAGTTAAAAGTTTAGGAAACTATTTTGTGCTTTGTTGTTAAGTGCCATGGAATTGGCTCTGACTCATAGCAACCCTGCATAGGGTTTCCCAGACTTATAAATCTTTGCAAGAGCAAAAAGTCTCATCTATCTCCTGCAGAACTGCTGGTAGCCTTGAACCAGGGACCTTGTATTGCACAATCCAGTGTTTATCATATGGATTTTGTGCTTTAGAATTTACTAAATGCTAAAAAAGTACTAGTGTGGCACTGTGGGTTAATGGGCTGGGCTACAAGGTCAGTTTGAACTTCAAGGTTAGCAGTTCATGCTCACCAGCCACTCCCTGGGAACCCTATACAGAGTCCCTACGAGTCAGAACTGACTCAAAGGCACGTAACAACAACAACATGTAAATTTATATTGCATTTTAATTTTTTCTTAAAAAAATTCTGAAGGTTAAATGTTGAGACAGGAGTAACAATTGTTTTAAAGACTAATCACTGTATATTAGGTTTTCAGACTATGAAATTTTATTACTTAAGCATATGATTTAATAAATCAAATTATAGTGGAGTTCTGTGTGCCATTTACAGACATGAATCAGCTATGCTTCGTGGTGAAGTTGATTCAAACTTACAGTGACCCTGTAGAGGGTTTCCGAGGCTGTAAATCTTTATGGACGCAGAAAGCCTCATCTTTCTCCAGTGGAACCACTGGTAGTTTTGAACTGCTGACCGGTAGGTTAGCAGCCTGACTTGTAAACACAACGCTACCATAGCTCCTTATAGCTATAATCAAAATACTCTACGGATAAGGACGGCCACGTGGCAAATGTGAAACAGACATACAGGGTACTGAAGTGATCGTTTACTAAATCATATTGGTGAGTAGAGGCTCCAATGACCAGAACAGTACTTTCCTGATTGTGGGCTTGACTTTTCTCACCGTCTCTTTGTCTCTTGATTATCAGGTACTTTAAAGAACTCTAAATAATTTGCGATAACTTTAAATAAAGATAGGGTTTCTTATAATAGATAATTTTGCATATCATCTGACTACTTCAGAACAGAATAAAGATGTACTCTTTTGTATAGGCCAAAATCTATAGTTCACTGTAGTGTTAGAATTTGATCTTTTTTCTTCATAAAAAACAAAACCCCACAATTCTATCTATAGTTAAACATATTTACTGTAAGCAGGTTTCAGCTTCTTAGTTAACATGTCTGAGTTGAATCAGTAGGCGTGAAGTGGAGGTGGAAAGAAAACAATGATCCTAGGCTACAAAAGATTAATCAGCCAAGGAAAGAAAACCCCTATGGCTTACATGTGTCCGGTTCACAACTGATCAGGGGACCACAGTTCTGTTCTGTTGTGCAAGGGGTTGCCATGAATTAAGGGGCAGCTCTGAACACTAACATCAATCACAACTGATTTGCGGTCTAAGAGTGATTCAAAGATAGCCTATTATAAATGCCAGTCATGATTGATAAACTCCTCTGCATATATTCCATCCAAATTGTTAACTCAGTTATATTAAAAAAATAAAAGGAATATACAGAATATACTGCTTAACTACACCATGGCTTGCCATATAAATGACAAAATTTAAGTGATAATGTTACAGTATTTTCTTCTTCTCTACAAATCCTCCCCAAACAGTTTTTTTCATGGTACATCTGTGCCACAAAATCACATTAATAGTCAAGAACTTCAAAACACTCACCCTAGAGCCTGGAAGGAAGGAATCGAAAGTGCCCAGTGCATTGATAAGAACAGCAGTCTGGAGGCAGACTCCCCAATGTAGTGCACATTCAGGTACTCAGGCATAGGAGAAGGCATGGTGAGCTAGTATGAACACGGATTTGGGTAAATTACCTTATGACTTAAAATTTGAAATGATCATTTCTTTGAAAAAGTTAAATGCAAACATAACATATCAAGTATGAGTCTTTCCAATATAAGTAGCAAAAAATGCAAACCTGAAAATAATTCAGTCACTTGAGTTTACAACAATAAGGCTCAAAATAAACTAGTAGACCATATGGCCAAAAAACCCTCCAGCTCTCAAGTCGATTCTGACTCAGCAACTCTATAGGCAGGGTAGAACTGCCCCCCTATAAGGTGTCCACTCTTTATGGAAGCAGATTGCCACATCTTTCTTATGCAGATCAGCTGGCTGGTTTGAATTGCCAGCTTTTCAGTTAGCAGTGGAGCACTTAACCATTGCAACATCAGGGCCATAATTTTTAATAAACCAGTAGTTAACAAGCAGAATCCTATATAGCGTATACCAACCATGATATTCTCTGGTTGTGTTTTAAAGTTACTTCCTACCTTGGTCTAACAATGTGGTTTTGTCCTTCATTTCTTATCTCCTTTCCTTTATTACCAATTTTTGTTAAGTGCCAACAAGTTGGTTCTGACTCATAACAACCCTGGGTTTTCAAGGAATGACTGACTGGTGGGTTTGAACCTCCAGCCTTGTGGTTAGCAGTGACATACTTATCCTATAGTATTATGGTCTATAATAAATTCAGTTTAAGGAACAATACTGTATGATTAATGCTGCATTCACTTAGGCTCTAGTGTTCACAAATCGAATGTTTACACAACAGGAGAGAAGTAAGGGAAGCAGGCCTGCTGGTGCCAACTGAAGAGAGCATGTTCCTAATTAAAGGGGACAGATCTGAATTGAATTCAGTACACTGAAAATGTGATGATTTGGGCTCAGTACTGTCGAATTTTCAAAGAGCCGGTTCTGTGTAAAGCCTCCCGATATAAAAAGATTGGTAATGATTTATAGTTTTGAAAACAACCTACAGATTAAAATATGTCTATGGCCAGATCGTTCAAAACAATTGTCAGCTTATATTGCTGCCCTTTGGTAGTTATTTTAAATGTGTGACCACTGTTGAAATTATTTTATATCAAAATCCTTCTAAAAGTATTTTTGAAAATCCAGTACTATAAATAGAATGTAATGACACATTTTTTCCTATTTAAATATTATTGAAACAGGACTTCCAGAAAGATGGTGGACTAGGCTGATGCTCTACTTAGACCCTCAACCACAAATATACAAGAGACCACATAAAACAGACATGGATGAAACTTCTGGCTCCCTGAACTTCAGAAATAGGGTTAGAGAGACAGATGGAGTGTTTTCTGGGAGAAGAAGCAGAGTAGGGACATCAAGATAGGGAGACTGACTGGTGAACAGCTGGCCAGACAGAGCTCTACCATCTTGTGAACAGCTCTGGCAGCAGAGGGAGGCATGGCAGAGCAGAAGCACACGGACGCTGGGAAAGGAGTGATTTCATCCTTTTCCCCACACTCCCTTGATGACCAGCATCCACCTTCAACCACCATCAGCACAGACCCTGCTGTCCGGGAGTGCTGACTATGAGGTGTGGACAGCTGTGTTGATTTGGTGTCCCTCTCTGCTCTCCGGATTCAGGTGGGCTAGTCTCCAAACTTACAAAACCTGCAGAGCCATCAGACCAGCAGTTAACTAGCCCCCTTGCCCTCAGCTTCTCTGCAGTCCTAACACACACTTGAAAGCAGCTCTATCAAGGGTCCCCAGAAACTACTTCCAGATTGAGTGCCCTGAACGTAGATAACAATGAGGCTGATAGGAACCGCATCTAGGGCCAGGAACTCTGATGTCAAATCCTTTCCACAACTACTTTGTGAACTCCTTGAACTCCAAGAGCCCACCAGAGATTTCACTTTTTCAGGTCCAACAAGTGCACTGTTTGTTTTTATAAATACGGCAACTCCACAATGCCCCAGAGACAACAATTTTAGCTTACATGAAAAAATGAGAGAGAATGGCTCATACAAATGACCAAGATGCAGAGCCAGAAAACGTTTCTGAAGAAGAAAAGGTAATGAACTAACTGAAGAAAAAAACAGATTCAAAAGAATGCTAATTAGGTATCTTCAAAATAAGCTCTGGTAGCGTAGTGGTTACGAATTGGGGTGCTAATCTCATGGTCAGCAGTTTGAAACTACCTGCTGTTCCATGGGAGAAAGATGAGACTTTTTGCTCCCATAAAGATTTACAGCCTCGGAAACCCTGTACAGGGGCACTACGAGTCGACTCCCTGGCACATAACAATAACATCAAAGGATCAATAAAAAGATCAAAGAAAGCAAGGAGAACACAATAAAATCGTAAGAATTCAGGAAAATACTACAAAAACAGAAAAAATGAATGCAAATTTTGAAACAAAACCTGCAATTAGAAATTCAGAATATTCACACTAAGATCTCAGAAATGGATAATACACTGAAAAGAGCAAAGAAGCAGATGCAAAGCAATGGAAGCCTGAATCAGTGAGCTTGAGGATAAACCTCTCAATGTTAGTATGCTACAAGAACAGTCAGATAAAGAATTAAAAAATCAAAGAAAGCCTCAGAGTTAAGTGGAAGACCATGAAGAGGAACAACTTATGGTGACTGGAATTCTGGAGCGGGAAGAGACAAGCACAGAGAAAACTGTTGAAGAGTTGTTGGAAGAACACTTCCCTAACATCATGAAAGACGGTAAGCTAAGCATACAAGAAATTGAATGAAGCCCAAACAGGATAGACTGCCCCCAAATCACCAAGACATATCATAATCAAACATTCCACAATTAAAGACAAGGAAAGAATCTTGAAAGCAGCTCAGAAAAAACAAAAAGTTCCCTACAAAGGAGGACCAATAAAACTAAATAAGGATTTCTCAGCAGAAACCATGTAGGCAAGAAGGCAATGAGATGACGTACAAAAGCAAATAGTAATACCAAGTAAGTTGCGGATACAGAGAGGAGTACTCAGATACTACTGAGTTAGATAAACTACAGGAAACTTTGGCAGTATCAACCAAAATTTCAAATATGAACATATGTTTGAAATATGCCAATTTCAAATAAACCTAAAGCAAGAGAAACCCAACGTTGCAAAGTCGAATCTGACCCACAGTAACCCCACAGAATAGAGTATAACTGGCCCACTGGATTTCCAAAACAGAAAAGCTTTATAGAAGCAGACTGCCGTTATTCTCCAGCAGAGAGACTGCTGGGTCTGAACCACTACTGACCTTCTGGTGGCAGTCAAATGCTTTAACTACTGAGCCACAGGGATCTTTCGTCACCTAATAAAGCCACCTCTAGTGTTGCTGTAGGAGCTCTGGTAGCGTAGTGGTTACAAATCAGGCTGTGAACCACAAGGTCCGTAGTTCGAAACTACCAGCTGCTCCACGGGAGAAAGATGAGGCGATCTGCTCCCATAAAGATTTACAGCCTCGGAAACCCTGTTCAGGGTCGCTATGGGTCGAAACCGACTTGATGGCACTTAACAACAACAACAACAAGTGTTGCTGTGGGTTAATGCACCAGACTGCAAAACCATATGAACTGCAAGCTTGGCAGTTCAAGCTTACCAGGAGCTACTTGGAAACCCCATACACGGGCATATGGGTCAGAACTGACTTGATGGCACTTTACAACAATAACAAATACTTATTCAGCATGCTTATATAGGATCGCTTTGAGTCGGAACAAACTTGACAGCACTTAACAACAAATGATCTATTCTGGAGTCCTAGTGTGGTGCTTTAGGATTGCGAACCCAAGCTTTGGCAGTTCAAACTCAGCAGCTGCTCCTCGGAAATCCTATACAGGGTCGCTGAGTCATAATTGACTCAATGGCAGTTAATAACAACAAGTATCTATTCCAGAAAAATATGTGCAACATATGCATAACAGAGCATGTATAAGGGTGGGTGCTCATTGTAGGGCAACTGCTAACAGTGAAATTAAATACTGAGGAACAACCTAAATACCCACACTAAGGGAAAAAAATGGAGTCCTGGTGTAGTGCTCTAGGATAAGCTCTGGACCACAATGTCAATTTGAACTTCAAGGTCAGCAATGTCAACTCATCAGCAGCTCCTTGGAAACCCTATACAGGGCTGCTATGAGTTGGAACTGACACCACGGCACTACACTGAACAACAAAAGGAAAAATAATCCATGCTGTGAGGCATTGAAAATGATAGAAAAGACAACTCAAAGACACTTAACTAAAAAAAAGCCCCCACACAAAAAAATCTTAAATATATACATTAATCCTTTCAAGACTGAATTATTTTCTACTTTGAATTTTATGTTGAAACCATGTGTTTTCAGTGATGGTAGACACTTTAATGAAAATTAAAAAAAATTTTTTTAGGTAATATGTTTGACACAATTGTTTTAAGTGTTGTTGACTTATAGTTCTGACTCATAGCGACCCTATATAGGGTTTCCAAGGAGCAACTGACGGATTAGCACTACCAACCCGTGCTAACCCTATAGCACCTCATGCCTCATGGGGCCTCTAGAACTTGGATTGATGAGTTCTGTTCCTTCAGATTCATGAAGATGACAGCACACACTGAAAGTGGAGTAGCAGTTTGCCACTAAACCCCAGAGGCAGGAAATATAGGTAGGCACCATATGTCCTGTAGGTCAAAAGAAGGTTACAAGGGATAAAAGGAGTTGCACCACACAGTTAATAGTGTCTACAAGTGGGATACTGGTTGGTGCTGTGGGCTAATGCACTGGACTGTAAAACACACACTCATCTAAATATTAAGGCCATAGCTAACTACTGAAGATGCCCAAGAAACAGAAACAGATGAACATATCAGCACATGTCCAGAAACGAGATAAAGTGACTGAGACAAATGAGCTGGAGGTAGACCTACACTCCATATTGGAAGAGGGCAGGCTTTGGAAATGCCTGAGAAGGAATTCAGAAAAATGATTATAAAATGTATCAAAATTCTTTACAATGAAGTTGAGAAAAATAAGGAAG